TGTGGATAAATACATCAAGTTCACACGAGAAGATGTAAAAAATGGCAAGTTGGCTTTCTTGGACTGTGAGGTCTCAGTCTCTGATAGAGGACATTTGCAAACCGAGGTGTACCGCAAACCCACCCACACAGACCAGTATTTGCAGTTTGACTCCCATCACCCTTTGGAGCACAAGTTAGGAGTCATCAGGACTCTGTATCACAGAGCAGACAGCATCCCCACTAGCTCGGGAGCCAGGCAGAAGGAGAAATCCCACACAAGACAGGCTCTAGAGCAATGTGGATATCCTAACTGGGCCTTCCTGAAAGCAGAGAAGAAACCCAAACAGGACTCCAGTCAGCCAACAGGTGAAAAGGAGGAACCCAGACCCAGACCAGTGGTCATTCCGTATGTTGAGGGAGTATCAGAGAAACTGAGACGTTTATTTTCTAAACATAACGTCCCAGTGGCTTTTAAACCCCAAAATACATTACGGCAAAAACTGGTTCATCCCAAAGATCCAGTCCCCCGGCACAAACAGAGTAATGTTGTGTATGCTGTTCAGTGTCAGGAGGGCTGTGGTCAGTCTTACATCGGGGAAACTAAACAGCCACTGGCCAAAAGGATGGCCCAGCACAGAAGATCAACATCATCAGGCCAGGATTCTGAGATCTACACTCATCTCCAGGCCAGCGGTCACTCTTTCAAGGATGAAGATGTTCACATCCTGGACAGAGAGGAACGATGGTTTGAGAGAGGAGTAAAGGAGGCCATCTTTGTGAAAAGAAATTGTCCATCATTAAACAGGGGTGGAGCCTCCGGGTTCAACTGTCCCCCTCTTACAATGCTGTGATTGCTAGTATCACTCAGCCCTCTGTGAACAGTAAACAGCCATCAGGTGCTAATGATCCATTGTTAGGCTGATGGTCCTTCTTGAGCATGTGATCAGCTGGTTTTGGTTGTCAGCAGCAAACTGGTTGATCCACTCTGTGAAGGTGCTATTTAAGAGACTGAGCTGAAAACAGCACCTCAGACTGAGGAAGTCTCTTGGATGAGAGACGAAACGTTTCTAGATTTTTTTGCTTTGTTTTGTTTTTTGTTTTTTTGAATGTCCAGAGGACCAGATTGAACTTTTTTGGATTTTTCTACCTGCATTATTGAGCATGCATCAGGATATGAAGATAGAAAGGAGCTATATAAGTACAGTCCATTTACCATTTACATTGGCATAAGCTGTTGGGGGGAAAATCAGTTTTGTGTTGTGTGTTTCCTTGACTGATGAAGCCTTCTGGATGGAAGGTGAAATGTTTCAGCACAAAAAAAAAAAGAAACTGTCCAGATGACCTGACTGAAAATTGTTGGATTGTATACCTGGATTATCGAGCATGGACTTTGTTTGTCCATCCTTGTTATTGTTGTCACTTCAGATTTAATTGAAGCCAAAATGTTTGACTTCAGAGCCTACTTGATTGTCTCTTCAGAGCCCGGCGAGGGTGGGGTCATCACACCTGCAGATACACCCACCTCTCCATCATGGCAGACAGAGGCTGCAGATGTGACGACAGACTGTGCAAGTGAAGACATCCCTGCCTTCTATTTCTTTAGCTTAGTGGCCATATCACAGCTCGGTCAAGTCAATCATGAAGTGATACCAATTTCAGAGGCAGAATCCAGTGTGGAGGTAGCGAGGATATAATTATAAAAGTCAATTTTTCAATGGGGCTGATGGTAGCCTAGCAAAACACAGTTCACTGATCTGCCGCCAAGTTGCGCCTCCACAGAAACATGATTTTTAATGGGTAGGTGGTTTTCTGCAATAGTTATGAGAGACTACTCTATACTATTTAGATTTTTTCTCACCATCTCCTTTCCTTTGTGATGTAATGTAATGTCTTATTTGAATATTTCTGTACAAGTCTTTAGATGACAGCAAAAATGTCCCTGAAGTTGGTTAAGTTCTTAAGTGTTCTTAAAGGAGTCAAAGCAGTGGCTATGACAATTAATCAAAGAAAAAAAAAACTCTTACCTTGTGTTGGTGCTCCAGAATAGAAAGCATGTTGCTGAATTTGTCACACACACTCTGTTTCTGAGTCCTATAGTTTTCCTGTGGGGGTAGAAGAAATTCGAACCAAAGATATGATGACTTTTCAGTTTTAAGATAATATGGCAGACATTTTCACTGTGACAGAGTTAAAGCTTTACAAACTCTGTACAAAAATGTGAACCTTATCTAAAACATTTGATCTATTTATTTAATCTTTCAGGCAGGACATATCACAAACAAAATTCTGACATATGAACGTGGACTGTAAAAAGCAAAATATTTTGAACTATGCATGCAAAATCAATAATTCACTAAACGGTCAGAGAAAACTAAACAGAATTAGTAACAGCAGCATTTGTGTTTATAAATGACCATAATAATGTGACCCATGCTGGCAAAATGAGTCACAAAGAAGAATGTGGAACAGTTGATACAGACTGGCAGGTGGGGTTGCATGTCCTACAGCACCTCCTGGATAATAGACTATTTGTGAAAGTCAAAAAATGTGTCACCTCCATTTCAGTCCTGTGTTAAACATTTGAAAGTTAGCAGATAAAAACATACCCAGAAAATGTAAAAGCAGTGGCAGAATTGTCAGCACCCTTCAATCGCAAACAATTACAACAGTTTCTGGGATTTGCCAACTTCTATGGGAGATTAATTTAAAGTTACATTCAAGTTGCTGCAACCAAAATTAACCTGAATTCTTCATCTGAAATGAAACCAAAGCCTCTGACTCCATTCTTCCTCCCAGCTGCATCATAAGAAAATTACTGTAGGAAATTGAGGATGCCGCCCAGCAAGCACATGCCACTGAACCCGACCCACTCATCTCCTAGTTGGCTTTCTGTCCTGACCACTGTCCCTTCCAGAGTGCTGCCTGGGGTTCACACAACCAAGGTCACCTGCCCCCCATAGATAAGTTGTGCTCTCTCATTCCTACAACATACATTTTGTTGGCCATCTATGAACAAAAATAATTGGAGTTCATGAGGTTCTGTTTGTGATCAAAACAAGTCCAACAATTGACCCTCCTCAGATCTCCTTCAACCTTTGCTAGTCCCAGGATGAACTTGATCCTACATCTAATTAGATATCATTACAGGTCTACCACCCTTAGATGAAAACATCATCATCCTCACCATTGTGGAGCATTTCTCAAAGACCTTACATTCCTTTATCCAAACTAGCTTCAGTTGTGGAAACAGCTCAGCTGATGGTTTTCAGTATGTTTTGCATCCATGGAATTCTCCAGGACATTGCATCTGACTGAGGACCTGAACGGATATCTCAGGTATTGAAATCATTCTGCACAACTCTAGGTGCGAGAGCTATCTCTCCTCACACTTCCACCCTAACTCCAACTAACCATAACCACGTGGAAGATGTGCTTTGACATTTGGTTTCTGCCAATTCCTCCCACAAAATTTCCACAATGACCCGGGTAGAGCATGCATACAACTCTATAACAGCCCCAGTTCAGATGCTTGGGCCTTTTTTCCTGCACATATTAAATGTGCTACTGCACCAAAACACCAGATTGACAGAAATTGATAAGATGCTAATTGCTCCTAATTATGTTTTACAGAAATAAATGAATGTGTTAAATCTGTGAAACATGTTGGACTGTGTTTAGTGAGTTTAACATTCCCATACCTCTGTGTTTCTGCACATCTCCTCCAGCTCATTGACAACAGACTGGACATTGTCACGGAAAGCCACCAAGGAGGTTACATTGTCTCTCAGTTTCTCCTAAAACACACACGGCACTACTTAGTTATCATCTCCATTATCACTTGAGGGCAATAGGGAAAAATTATTTGGTCTGTGTCTTTGTGTGTGTCTGACAGGGGGTGGTGGATGCATGGATGGATGGATGAATGGAAAGATGGGTGGATAGTAATGAAGGTCTCTGAAAGTAATAATTCAGTGTACATGGTCATCAACTTTTAAAGTCAACACAAATTAAGTTGCCACAGTTGAGCAGCCTCTGCAAACACAACAGTGACTGTACCTCAGGTAACATTACAGCTAATATTTAGAGGAGCCGAGACTCATTGGCAGCACGATGGCTCAGTGGTTAGCACTGCTGCCTCACAGCAAGAAGGTCCTGGGTTCAATCCCCGGCTGGACCTGAGGTCTTTCTCTGTGGAGTTTGCATGTTCTTCTCGTGCTTGCGTGGGTTTTCTCCGGGTACTCTGGTTTCCTCACACAGACCAAAAACATGCATGTTAGGCTGCCTTCAGGCCCAGGCCTCCCTTGCAAAAGAGATCTGTGATCTCAATGGGATTTGTCTGGTTAAATAAATGTTAATAAATTAAAAACATACTTCTATCTCAAACTGGTTACTCCTTTAGTTTTAAAACAATGCAATCAACTATTAGAGTCAATTTTGTTTGTTAGCAAAATGTCTGATAAACCAATAAATTAAATTCTGAAACTCAAAAATTAATCACTGGATGTATTTTTACAATTGATTACTATTTATTGTGGGATTGGTGGCATAGAGGTTAAAGAAAGTGGGCCTGTGATTGGAAGGTCACCGGTTCAACTCTTCGTACCGACAACATCATAAAATGTGGGTGGGAAAGGTGGAACACCCACACCTGCATCCACCCTCATTTGTTTCACTCTTGGCCATTGAGCAAGGCCCTTAACCCCCACGACCTGCTCCCCTGGGTGCCCTAGATAGCAGCTCTCTGCTCCACACAGAGGCTGTGGTAGATCGGTGGTCTGTGGTTGCATCAGGAAGGGCAAGGGCATAAAAATAATTGCCAAGTCTTTGTGCAACTTAGTTGACTGTGGCGACCTCTGTAGAAGGGAGCAGCTGAAAATAAAATTAGTATTTATTGTGACGACCCTGTCAGGTGACTGACTGAGCTGCTGCGGGGATGGCTCTGTTGAGCAGAGTGCAGAAGGTAATTATTAGGAACACCTGAGTTGCTGGCTCAGCCCAGTGTAAAGAAAGAGGTGTTGTGTTGCTCAAGGAGAAGGACATTAGGCCTGTCCTCTCTCCTTGCTTGCTGGTCTTCCTGGGGTTATGATTTGTCTTGGTTATGCTGATCTGTTGTTTGGATTTATCCTGATGCATGCTCAATAATCCAGGTAGAAAAATCTAAAAAAGTAAATCTGGTCCTCTTGACATTCAAAAAACAAAACAAAACAAAAAAAATGTGGAAAAGTTTCGTCTCTCATCTGAAAGACTTCTTCAGTCTGAGGTGCTGTATTCAGCTCAGTCTCTTAAATAGCACCTTCTCAGAGTGGATCAACCAGTTTTGCTGCTGACAACCAGAACCAGCTGCTCACATGCTCAAGAAGGACCATCAGCCTAACAATGGATCATTAGCACACTGATGGCTGTTTACTGTTCACAGAGGGCTGAGTGATACTAGCAATCACAGCATTGTAAGAGGGGGACAGTTGAACCTGGAGGCTCCACCCCTGTTTAATGATGGACGGTTTCTTTTCACAAAGATGGCCTCCTTTACTCCTCTCTCAAACCATCGTTCCTCTCTGTCCAGGATGTGAACATCTTCATCCCTGAAAGAGTGACCTCTGGCCTGGAGATGAGTGTAGACCGCAGAGTCCTGGCCTGATGATGTTGATCTTCTGTGCTGGGCCATCCTTTTGGCCAGTGGCTGTTTAGTTTCCCCGATGTAAGACTGATCACCCTCCTGACACTGAACAGCATACACAACATTACTCTGTTTGTGCCAGGGGACTGGATCTTTGGGATGAACCAGTCTTTGCCGTAATGTATTTTGGGGTTTAAAAGCCACTGGGACGTTGTGTTTAGAAAATAAACGTCTCAGTTTCTCTGATATTCCCTCAACATATGGAATGACCACTGGTCTGGGTCTGGGTTCCTCCTTTTCACCTGTTGGCTGACTGGAGTCCTGTTTGGGTTTCTTCTCTGCTTTCAGGAAGGCCCAGTTAGGATATCCACATTGCTCTAGAGCCTGTCTTGTGTGGGATTTCTCCTTCTGCCTGGCTCCTGAGCTAGTGGGGACGCTGTCTGCTCTGTGGTACAGAGTCCTGATGACTCCTAACTTGTGCTCCAAAGGGTGATGGGAGTCAAACTGCAAATACTGGTCTGTGTGGGTGGGTTTGCGGTACACCTCAGATTGCAAATGCCCTCTATTATAGACTGAGACCTCACAGTCCAAGAAAGCCAACCTGCCATTTTTTACATCTTCTCGTGTGAACTTGATGTATTTATCCACAGAGTTGATGTGGTCAGTAAAATGTTGGACTTCCTGAGATTTGATTTTAACCCAGGTGTCGTCAACATACCTGAACCAATGACTTGGTGGTGTCCCTGAAAAGGACGTCAAGGCTCTCTTTTCTACCTCCTCCATGTACAGGTTGGCAACAATAGGAGAAACTGGAGACCCCATAGCACACCCATGTTTCTGCCTATAATATTGCTCGCCATATGTGAAGTAGGTTGACTGCAGGCACAGTTTCAAGAGTTGACACAGTTGTTCTGTGGAAAGCGTGGTCCTGCTGCTCAGAGTGGTGTCTGATTTTAATTTTAAACTGACCACCTCTACTGCATCATCAACAGGAATGCACGTAAAGAGTGATGTGACATCAAAAGAGACCATTGTTTCATCAGTCTCCATGATGACCTCCCTCACCTTGTCCACAAAGTCCATGGTTTTCTGTATTTGGTGTTCTGAGCTGCCAACTAAAGGGATGAGTACAGACGCCAGATATTTGGAAACATTGTAAGTGACAGAGTTAATCATGCTAACAATAGGTCTTAAAGGTACACCTTGTTTGTGGATTTTAGGTAAACCATACAGACTAGGTGTGGCCTCCCC